TGAAGACACATTCAATATATATTTTAGGGTAAATACAATTTAGGGTTAATGCCTTGACCCGAACTATGCACCCTACTTCCTTGCTCTGCCGGAGGCGGATTTTGACTGGAAAATTCGACGGTCAACTCAATCAACCGTTAGTCAAGCACCAGGTCACTTGCCACGTCATCGAACCCGAAATAAAAATTTTGAATTTAGAACCAAATCCAAAATTTTTATTTTGGGTTCGCTAACGTGGCAAGTGACCTGGCGCTCGACTAACTGTCAATGGAGTTTACCGTCCAATTTAACGGTCAAAACCCGCGCCGGACCAAGCAAGGAAGTATGCATGGTGCATAGTTCGGGCCAAGAGAGCAATTTTAAAAATCAAGGGCCAAAAATAGAAAGTTTGACTTTTGAGTATAGTTTGGGCCAAAAGAAGGTATTACTCCTACAATTTATTAGCCACATCTTTCAAACTTTTCAAATTATTTTTTTATAACACTTTTCAAATTATTAGGCAAACCTTTCAAAATACAAAATAGTAGTCAAACGTTAACTTCCTGGTAGCAGTTTGTTAGTAATATCAACTTGTCAACATGACACTAACTTGGAAAAGGCACGTGGAGATCAACATTCTAAAATTGTAATATTTTAACTAAAAAAAGAGTTACAAAATTACTAACTATAATAGACAAATCATTAATATTGGAGTTACTTTCTATTATACGTATGTAATCAACCTTTAGTTGGGTTGTATATTGTGTTCGAGTCAATGTGGAGGATCCATCTTTTTAACCGTTAATGAGTTGTTGACATGGATGCCACATCAAGGAAAACAAAAATCAATAAATAATAGAAAACTCAAAATATTATCCAACAATTGTTTTTTAGAACACAATAGTTATCTTGATCAAGGTTGTCATCCAATTTTTATTGCTGAATCGGTTTAGCAAGTGATATGGTATGATCGGAGTTAAACCGATTCAAAGAAAATCTATCTATAATCTACATTCATATTTAAACAAAATACCATATTACAAACAAAATGACAAATCATATATATAAATGCAATATTTAACATCAACATCCAAATGTTTATACTTGAATCTAATAAGTAACATCATCCAAGTGTTGTTGATATTTGAATCCTAGAAATTCCTTACTTTTTGTTAGTTAGTTATACAAAAATGAAGTCATTTAGTTTACAGATAGAAAATTTATCGATTCAGCAGGACCACTATTTTCTAGATTTTGACTTTTTGTTATCAATTTAACTACTATTTTATACCGGTGGCCTTCCAGCTGGTTTTTCTTAATACATAATGAAATTTGTTATGCCGGCCGAAATACCAGTAATTTGATCATTATGATTTTTATAATAAAAAAAAAGGAAAAGTTCTCTCCCAACCACATAGTTACACAGACACGCTAGTGCTCTTCCGGTCTAATCAAAATCGTTGTGACAGTCGATGGTTGAAATCCGCCATCGTAGCTCCTATCCACCCCTCACTCTCACACTCACTCTCACTCCCAAACCCAACCACCCCCATGTCCTGTGAAAAGTCTCATATGCAATGAGCATATGAACGTTAAAAAAAAGTAGCGAGTGTCCAAATTAAGTGTGAGAAACAATTTAGATCTGACCTTATATATTGTCTATGGTCTAGACCGAAAGGTTAGAACACAGACAATGGACCAGACCATGTAGAGTACAATTCAAATCAAATCACTCCCCTGTGATGTAATCCAGACCAGGCATACCATATTCAAAAGTCAAAACAAAATTATCCTTTGTTATAGAGTTCAGAAACTAAATGCTAAGAAACTAAGACCTTAGTCACTAATACACCAAGGATCCATTGACGTTTACTTGCACATATAAGATTGTTGTACAAACCAAGCTTAAAATAATCTACAAAAATACATGAATTGTCATAATTACTGGATAATAGAAACCAAATATGTTACTCGATAAAAGAAATCAACCAAATAATGAAATAAGTGAGGAGAAATTGCACTAATATATTGGAGTAATCCACACGGTACATATTTCCACAAATGAAATGAATCCTTTAACAAAGAAGCAAAGTAAAGTTAATTGGTTGAAGTCACCTTTATTATCAACTTTGATTTATATCACCGTTGATTTTTGGGTTGAAGTCACAATGGTAAGACCATCTCCATCCAATTGCTTATTGCTATTGCTTATTGAGTGGAATCCTATGTGGCAATAGCTTTAAGCAATTGCAAGGATGTAGCACTTCTTTCTTATTTAGCAAGATTGCTAAATAAGCAATCCCCTTTGCAATGCCACATAAGCAATTGGGACCCACACATTCATGCACTCAAATTCTTTCTTTTTTCTTTCTTTCTTTTCTATCCACTTTGTACACATAAAATGTATTGTTAAGGAAAAGAATATGTAGTAGGTCCCATCAATTGCAATTGCTGACCTATTGCAGGGATGTAGGTGGTTTGAAATGGTTGAATTGAATAGTTGCTAAAGTTGGTGATGTGGATGTGGGGTCCATTTATGAAATGGCTAACCTATTGCAGGGATGGAGATGGTCTAAAGGGCAAAGGTCAGGTGGCATGCTTCTCTCCATTTGGCAAATAAAACTACACGTGTAAATGTGCAATTCATGCACACAACACACATCACAAATGAAAAAGTGACTGATGTCTGTACAATAGACTGAGATCAAACTAAATAATTTGTATTTGCCCTTCTGCTGGAATTAGAATCACATCTGATTTTCGTTGTCGTTATTTCCGCCCAAGTTTTCATTACTTTTCTCACTCATGGCCTGATTATGTTTGCTACTCCTTTCATTCTCAAATATAGGTTAGCATTCTCAAAACTCAATTGTACGTCTTCGACCAAGACAACAGCCATGGATTGTTTTATCCAATCAATTCTAGCTTAGCTTCTCCACCCGCCATAAACTTCTATAGGCGATTTTATAGAGCTTTGCCACCGGTTAGCCATGCTTAGCAAACCAGGTTTCTTTGTTTTTGGATGAATGGCAAACCTAGTTTCTTTTATCCCACTTCATTTTCATTTTAATGTTGACCAACCGCCTACTTAACTACTTCATTCTTCTCCCTTTTCACCAGAATGGGACGTGACGTTGAGCTGCTTTAGCTTCACCATTGGCAGCAAAAACTGATGGCGGCGGCGGTTTGGCGTCTTAGACCAATGACCCGCTACGAATTCGGGGAGGAAGAGTATCAGGCGTGTCTGTTCGTTGATGCTGAAACGGAGGGGATAAGGGGTTGTAGATCTGTTCGTTGATGCTGAAATGCGGCGGCGGAACAGGGGAGACAAAACGCAAACGGGGAAGCAAGGGAAAACGGATGGGATTGATCGAACTTGTGAACGGGAACGGTCTCAGTAGGCCAATTTTGACCCATTATTAGAGATTGCGAACAAATAGTCTTTTTTGACAGGCCTAGGCCCAGGCCCAGGCCCAATATTGGCGCAAATCGGTGGAGAGCAAAGCCCGACGTACACATGGGCTGCAGTCAGTTTGATAAAACGCACAGCATAATTAAGTGGAGGGTAGAATGTCGAGAATACCCTTCTGGGAAGTGCTCTGGAGCCTGGAAATTCAAAATCCTGAAAATTGAACCCATGAATATGCTTTATATATTTTGTAGAAATCTTGGCTTACATACGTTTGTTATAAATTAATTCCATAAGTTTTGAGAAATTCATTTTGAAATGAAGTCTTTTTGTGTTTGGTATTTAAAAGAATTCATTTGCATTTCTAAATTTTGAATTCTACGGAATTGGAACTAGTCATAGCAATTCCGATGAATTGAGATGGAATTTGCAAATGAATTCCACAAGTATTTACTAATTATAATAGAATGACATAATTATCCTCATTTATTAACGAAATTACTTCTACATATATTATTTGGCATCAATTGATGCAGTATGAGAAACGTCACCAAGAATTTGATTGCAACGCTAGTAGCATATACTAGTTATTTTATATTTTTGCTTTGATTGTATCATTACTTTGAGAAGGCACAACTAGATTGTAGGGTTCATCCACGAAATAATAGAAAAGAACAAATTAATAGAATATAAACACACAAGAGCACTTTTGAAACTCTACGTACGTGACCAAAGACGTTTTTTAGAAGATGAATTTTCCATGAATATTGTTTTTTCAGAAAATTAATAAGGGTATAGTTGGAGAAACTTTTAATTTAATTTAATTTAATTCTAAATATATACCAAACATGGTTTATAAATTCAATTCATTTATTTCTAAAGTTTAAATATAACTACCAAACACATGAATTCATTTGACAATAAATTCTACGTCGTAGATATTGTTATTCGATATATCCGACTAACTAACGAAGAGAAGTCATCACACTCACACATTCACACTCATCTGTATGTAGATGTCCTTAGCTAATCAATCAATTAGTAGTTTTAAAAACAAATAAATTAATTGATTTTCACTTCATGTTAATTTATACCCTTTCTTTCTATTCTGTTCCCTTTACGCCTGACGACTTATCACGTAGTCCCTTCTTCCTTCTTTTTCACCGCCACAGATCTTTCTCTCTCTCTCTCCCTCGCCTCTGTTTGTTTCCTGAGAATGTAAGTGAAAGGGAGAGTGGGGGAGAAAAAAAAAAAAAAAAAAAATCAAACCCCTCCCAAATAGGAAACACTCGCTCAGCTTTTCTCTCCCGTCGTCCATGGCGAAGCAGCACTGCACAGTCGTAGCTTAGTAATAGCAGCAGTCCTAGACTAGTACCCACCAATCTCTCAAAAACTTTCTTTCCCAATCATTTCCCCGTTGATTCCGAGATCTCAACTCCCGCCGATAACCTCTAATTGATTCCGCGTTGATCGACCAACGAATGGATCTTGGGGATGAGCATCCGTTTCTTTCCTAAGTACGCGCCGCCGTAGACAGAACGATCGTCTCCATCAGTCTCTTTTCCTCGACGTACGTGCGATTGCCGCCGCCGCCGGCGGCGTAGAGATAAGAAGCACAGATATCGAGACTAGCTCTCCCAGCAACATTCACTAGCCGACGGAACGATCGAATTAGCCGGTTTGTTTAGCTGGAACTTCCGCCGGTAACTTTCTCTCTCTAACTTTCCTTTTTAGGTTTAAGGGAAATTTTGGAAAGTTGTTATCAATCACGGAGAAGAAGCTTTTTGTTTCCACTGAAAAAGGAAAAATCCCCCCAATCAACCAGTTGGGGGGTTTTCTCGGAAACCGCCATGGAAGCTTCTCTCTGATCCAGCCACTCATTAAACATAGTTAATTATTCTAATCAACCTGTTTAATTCATATCGTATCGACCTTAATTAACCGTCTCTCATCCCAATGCTTCTTCTAATGTACATATTTTCGCTTTCCAATCGATCTTTTTTCCTTCAGAGAGGAAGAAGAAAGAGAGAAATTAAAGATGTCGTCGTCGTCGTCGTCGCAGAGCTCGCCGTGCGCGGCGTGCAAGTTCCTGCGGCGGAAGTGCACGGCGGAGTGCGTGTTCGCCCCCTACTTCCCGCCGGACCAGCCGGCCAAGTTCGCGAGCGTCCACCGCGTCTTCGGGGCCAGCAACGTCGCCAAGCTGCTCAACGAGATCCCCGCCGCCCAGCGCGACGACGCCGCCAATTCCCTCGCGTACGAGGCAGAGGCCCGCTTCAACGACCCGGTCTACGGCTGCGTCGGCTTCATCTCCCAGCTCCAGCACCGCCTCAAGCAGCTCCACTTGGATCTCCACCTCGCCAGGCAGGAGCTCGACAAATACATCGGCCCTCAATCCTTGCTCGTCCCCTCCCCAAATTTCGGCGTCCCCGGAAACCCCTCTTCTTCGACCCTCATGATTCCGCCGCAACAGCAGCAGATAAACAGTTACCCGATGATGGGTATTCCGACCGGGTCGGGTCTACCCGTTATGATCCGAGAAAATAATACCCAACTCCAGCAGCAATTTCATCACCGGCTTCAACTGCAGGAGGCGGCACAGCAGCAGCAGAGGCAGTTTCAGCAGCAGGAGGTGATCAGGTTGATGGATGGTGGTGTTACAGCGACTGGTTTCAATGAGATTATTAGCAGCCCATCAATGGGTGTCTCGACGCCATCATCGTCATCCCTAGCTCTAGGGGAGATGGATCATGATAGAGCGTACCAAGGGCAGCAGGTTCAAAGGCCGGTGGTGGAGCTTAAGCCACAGCTGTTTCTTCAACAGCAGCATCATCTGCAGAAAGAGCAGCGGCAGGAGGGGAGCACAGGGCCGTCAGGTTGATGATGTTGAACTTTCAGAGACAGGGTTTGCTTTGTTTAGTCTGGCTGAGATACTGTGATAGAAGAGAGATGTGCATAGTTTCTGTTCTTGGTGAGCATGACTCTCTGCTTTCTTTCTTTTTGTCTCTCAGCATACACACACAACCCCACTGATGTCTGTACAATAGACTGAGATCAAACTAAATAATTTGTATTTGCCCTTCTGCTGGAATTAGAATCACATCTGATTTTCGTTGTCGTTATTTCCGCCCAAGTTTTCATTACTTTTCTCACTCATGGCCTGATTATGTTTGCTACTCCTTTCATTCTCAAATATAGGTTAGCATTCTCAAAACTCAATTGTACGTCTTCGACCAAGACAACAGCCATGGATTGTTTTATCCAATCAATTCTAGCTTAGCTTCTCCACCCGCCATAAACTTCTATAGGCGATTTTATAGAGCTTTGCCACCGGTTAGCCATGCTTAGCAAACCAGGTTTCTTTGTTTTTGGATGAATGGCAAACCTAGTTTCTTTTATCCCACTTCATTTTCATTTTAATGTTGACCAACCGCCTACTTAACTACTTCATTCTTCTCCCTTTTCACCAGAATGGGACGTGACGTTGAGCTGCTTTAGCTTCACCATTGGCAGCAAAAACTGATGGCGGCGGCGGTTTGGCGTCTTAGACCAATGACCCGCTACGAATTCGGGGAGGAAGAGTATCAGGCGTGTCTGTTCGTTGATGCTGAAACGGAGGGGATAAGGGGTTGTAGATCTGTTCGTTGATGCTGAAATGCGGCGGCGGAACAGGGGAGACAAAACGCAAACGGGGAAGCAAGGGAAAACGGATGGGATTGATCGAACTTGTGAACGGGAACGGTCTCAGTAGGCCAATTTTGACCCATTATTAGAGATTGCGAACAAATAGTCTTTTTTGACAGGCCTAGGCCCAGGCCCAGGCCCAATATTGGCGCAAATCGGTGGAGAGCAAAGCCCGACGTACACATGGGCTGCAGTCAGTTTGATAAAACGCACAGCATAATTAAGTGGAGGGTAGAATGTCGAGAATACCCTTCTGGGAAGTGCTCTGGAGCCTGGAAATTCAAAATCCTGAAAATTGAACCCATGAATATGCTTTATATATTTTGTAGAAATCTTGGCTTACATACGTTTGTTATAAATTAATTCCATAAGTTTTGAGAAATTCATTTTGAAATGAAGTCTTTTTGTGTTTGGTATTTAAAAGAATTCATTTGCATTTCTAAATTTTGAATTCTACGGAATTGGAACTAGTCATAGCAATTCCGATGAATTGAGATGGAATTTGCAAATGAATTCCACAAGTATTTACTAATTATAATAGAATGACATAATTATCCTCATTTATTAACGAAATTACTTCTACATATATTATTTGGCATCAATTGATGCAGTATGAGAAACGTCACCAAGAATTTGATTGCAACGCTAGTAGCATATACTAGTTATTTTATATTTTTGCTTTGATTGTATCATTACTTTGAGAAGGCACAACTAGATTGTAGGGTTCATCCACGAAATAATAGAAAAGAACAAATTAATAGAATATAAACACACAAGAGCACTTTTGAAACTCTACGTACGTGACCAAAGACGTTTTTTAGAAGATGAATTTTCCATGAATATTGTTTTTTCAGAAAATTAATAAGGGTATAGTTGGAGAAACTTTTAATTTAATTTAATTTAATTCTAAATATATACCAAACATGGTTTATAAATTCAATTCATTTATTTCTAAAGTTTAAATATAACTACCAAACACATGAATTCATTTGACAATAAATTCTACGTCGTAGATATTGTTATTCGATATATCCGACTAACTAACGAAGAGAAGTCATCACACTCACACATTCACACTCATCTGTATGTAGATGTCCTTAGCTAATCAATCAATTAGTAGTTTTAAAAACAAATAAATTAATTGATTTTCACTTCATGTTAATTTATACCCTTTCTTTCTATTCTGTTCCCTTTACGCCTGACGACTTATCACGTAGTCCCTTCTTCCTTCTTTTTCACCGCCACAGATCTTTCTCTCTCTCTCTCCCTCGCCTCTGTTTGTTTCCTGAGAATGTAAGTGAAAGGGAGAGTGGGGGAGAAAAAAAAAAAAAAAAAAATCAAACCCCTCCCAAATAGGAAACACTCGCTCAGCTTTTCTCTCCCGTCGTCCATGGCGAAGCAGCACTGCACAGTCGTAGCTTAGTAATAGCAGCAGTCCTAGACTAGTACCCACCAATCTCTCAAAAACTTTCTTTCCCAATCATTTCCCCGTTGATTCCGAGATCTCAACTCCCGCCGATAACCTCTAATTGATTCCGCGTTGATCGACCAACGAATGGATCTTGGGGATGAGCATCCGTTTCTTTCCTAAGTACGCGCCGCCGTAGACAGAACGATCGTCTCCATCAGTCTCTTTTCCTCGACGTACGTGCGATTGCCGCCGCCGCCGGCGGCGTAGAGATAAGAAGCACAGATATCGAGACTAGCTCTCCCAGCAACATTCACTAGCCGACGGAACGATCGAATTAGCCGGTTTGTTTAGCTGGAACTTCCGCCGGTAACTTTCTCTCTCTAACTTTCCTTTTTAGGTTTAAGGGAAATTTTGGAAAGTTGTTATCAATCACGGAGAAGAAGCTTTTTGTTTCCACTGAAAAAGGAAAAATCCCCCCAATCAACCAGTTGGGGGGTTTTCTCGGAAACCGCCATGGAAGCTTCTCTCTGATCCAGCCACTCATTAAACATAGTTAATTATTCTAATCAACCTGTTTAATTCATATCGTATCGACCTTAATTAACCGTCTCTCATCCCAATGCTTCTTCTAATGTACATATTTTCGCTTTCCAATCGATCTTTTTTCCTTCAGAGAGGAAGAAGAAAGAGAGAAATTAAAGATGTCGTCGTCGTCGTCGTCGCAGAGCTCGCCGTGCGCGGCGTGCAAGTTCCTGCGGCGGAAGTGCACGGCGGAGTGCGTGTTCGCCCCCTACTTCCCGCCGGACCAGCCGGCCAAGTTCGCGAGCGTCCACCGCGTCTTCGGGGCCAGCAACGTCGCCAAGCTGCTCAACGAGATCCCCGCCGCCCAGCGCGACGACGCCGCCAATTCCCTCGCGTACGAGGCAGAGGCCCGCTTCAACGACCCGGTCTACGGCTGCGTCGGCTTCATCTCCCAGCTCCAGCACCGCCTCAAGCAGCTCCACTTGGATCTCCACCTCGCCAGGCAGGAGCTCGACAAATACATCGGCCCTCAATCCTTGCTCGTCCCCTCCCCAAATTTCGGCGTCCCCGGAAACCCCTCTTCTTCGACCCTCATGATTCCGCCGCAACAGCAGCAGATAAACAGTTACCCGATGATGGGTATTCCGACCGGGTCGGGTCTACCCGTTATGATCCGAGAAAATAATACCCAACTCCAGCAGCAATTTCATCACCGGCTTCAACTGCAGGAGGCGGCACAGCAGCAGCAGAGGCAGTTTCAGCAGCAGGAGGTGATCAGGTTGATGGATGGTGGTGTTACAGCGACTGGTTTCAATGAGATTATTAGCAGCCCATCAATGGGTGTCTCGACGCCATCATCGTCATCCCTAGCTCTAGGGGAGATGGATCATGATAGAGCGTACCAAGGGCAGCAGGTTCAAAGGCCGGTGGTGGAGCTTAAGCCACAGCTGTTTCTTCAACAGCAGCATCATCTGCAGAAAGAGCAGCGGCAGGAGGGGAGCACAGGGCCGTCAGGTTGATGATGTTGAACTTTCAGAGACAGGGTTTGCTTTGTTTAGTCTGGCTGAGATACTGTGATAGAAGAGAGATGTGCATAGTTTCTGTTCTTGGTGAGCATGACTCTCTGCTTTCTTTCTTTTTGTCTCTCAGCATACACACACAGTCACACACACACAGAAATGTTGACATTAATGGAGGGGAGATAGCTACTAGCTGGCATTGGGTTGAGGGGTTATTCATGAATGGAGGGTTGAGGGAAGTGGAAAGGCAGCATTAACTCCATACTGCATAAAGGAAGGAGGAGTTGGTACAAGAGTTATTGTTATTTGTCTTTTCTACAGTGATCAGGGAATATGCTTTTCCCCTCTTTCTTACACAATCCATCTCCTTCAGTCACTTTCATGAAGGGGGTTTTCCTTCATTTTCTGCTCCCTTTAATTTCCAGTAGTACTATTCCTAGGGATCTATCTATCTCTAGTTCTCTACCTTATATACTTAGCCATATGCAAAATTTGGCTACAATCTCCAACATTCTTGACATTGCCATATTTGAGACCAATTTTTACTTGCTGTATGTCTATGGGTTGTAAAGGCCGGAAGGGAAGGTCTAGATCAGCTGTAGCTAGTTGGTGGTTAGGGTTTGAAGATCTCTTGTTGTTTAATGTTTTTGGCATTGTACGTAGCTTTGTTGGGATGGGCACATTTAATGAGAGGATGCATATAATTTGTGGGTTGTTGTGGTATAATTATTCAATTAAGAAACCCATGATCTTGACTGTTCATGGAGAGGGGAAAAAGTGCAGGATCTTGACTGAGTTAAGAGGGTGTTGGACTTTGCATATGATTCATCTCTACCTAATGAATTTATGTATGTCCTCTTAAACTTTACTGCTGCTGCTGCTGCTGTTGTTTCTTTTCTATTTTACTCATCGTTTGGTTGGTCGCTCTTTTCTTGCAGTGGAAATTGGAAAAGCATGCAGTAAGAGACAGTTGACCTAAGAGCTAGCTACAGTTAGAGAGAGATGAGAACTTGTGCAGACTTTCCCATCGAACAACCTTTCCAGAAATTTCTTGTATGATAGGATTAATAAGTATATACTGCATTCTATGATCAAGTATATCTGTATATATCAAGGTTCTAAAAGGCGCTAGGCGTAAGGCAGACGCTCGGCTCCTGACTTGGGCCTTGCTTGATTAGGCGTAGCCTAGGCGCGCCTAGGCGTTCAGAGCATAAATGGAAAAAGTTCTCAAATATTTCTTGTTTTCTGGAATAATTCATATAATCCAAGTGCATATAAAATTAGCAATGCCTAGTTCTTAACAGGAAACACTTAACATAACAAATAACAAGCAAATAGTGACCACTTCCTAGAATCACAAGTTCATAAAATGTCGAAATACTAAACAATAGTCAATAAGTTGATAGGGAAATGTTCATTCTTCATCATTCAAGTAGGTCCGTCCAGCCACCACTTCAACTTCATCATCCTCAAAAGCAATCGCCTCACCATCCTCCTCCTCCTCCTCTTCGGACTCTAATTCTTCATCATGGAGCTCTCTCACTCGTGCACTCCTGCGAAGCTCACTCTGTTCACCCGCCATTGCATCTGTAACAGTACTCGAGGGTGCACAATATGATTCCTCATCCTCATCTACGGATACATACATAGCATGGTCATCCCCTTCCCATGTTTCTGATTTTCTAGGGCAAGAGACAATTTTCTGATTTTCTAGGACAAAACGAAGAGTATGGGGTTTAACCGCCTAAGCTCGCCCAGGAACGCCCAGGCACGCCTTCTCTCCACTAGGCGCAAAATAAGCGCTATTCCTACCTACTAAGCGCTACCATCGCCTTTTACAACGCCTTTGGCCAAGTCAAGGCGATCATCCACCGCCTAGCGCCTAACTGAGCCTAGGCATGCGCCTAGGCGCGCCTTCTTGAACCTTGGTATATATACAGCCTTTTGTTACTATTCCTGTGTTGTGAAGAGAAGAAATAGTCCCTTTTCGGCTTTTTCCATATTACAAAATACAAAGCATGTGTATATTAATGGTTGTTGAATCAGATGGAGGTATGAGAAGCTGGGGCTCGGAAATCAAGAAAAATAATTATTAGGTTAATGGCAGTTGTTGATGGTTTTCATTAAACTAATGGGGTGAGTCAACCCAATGGTAAGTTACGATGATGAGTTGTTATATTTGGTGAGTCAACTCTCTATGGTAAATGTATGTCGGCAGAGAATATTATTATATAGGGTTAATAGCATTTTCTACCCTTCACTATCGTAAATTAACAAACGTACCCCTCTACTAAATTTTTGCACAAACATACCCCTCTAACTCTAATATTAAAATGTAACGAATATACCCTTCCGTCTAATTTTCTGTTAAATGGCTGTTAAATGGATTGTAAAATGACTAAAATAACCCTCAATTACCCTTAATTCATTTTGACATGACACCTAATTAATTAAACCTTACATAAGCCGTCATCTCTAAGCCATGCTCCATCCTTTCGTCTGCCCCGACTCCGAGAAGAATCCCCAGCGCACCCTCAGCGGCGGTTACGGTGGACTCTTCAACGCCGGCGATTGTAGCAGGCAGATTCGAGACGACGACAGGCGGACATGGGGGATTCCGACATGACCAATATATGCAATTGTATTGAATTCATTATCCCAATCCTACGAAAATTCAATCAAATCTGGGTGGAAAGTGGGTAGAGAAAAAGCTCATGTCTTTTTTGTTTTGTCCAGTAGCCTAAAAGGGTGGAGTTTGTGGAGGCAAAAGAGCGCAGGCGAGAGAGTTGCGATTGACCCCTGCCGCTTTGCCCTGACGGGGAACAGCAGCATCGTCACCGCCGCAGCTGGCATCGGGCTGCATTCGTTGGTGACGGCTTAGGGTTAGGTTTTAATTATTTGGGTGTGATAAAAAAAATTGTTAAAATAAATTAGGGGTAATTGAGGGGGTATTTTAGTCATTTTACAACCCATTTAACACCCATTTAACAGAAAATTAGACGGAAGGGTATATTTGTTACGTTTTAATATTAGAGGGATATGTTTGAGCAAAAATTTAGTAGAGGGGTACGTTTGTTAATTTGCGATAGTAAAGGGGTAGAAAATGCTATTAACCCTATTATATATGTCATTATGTGTGATCGTTGGTTGCTCCATTAGTTAATCAACAAGACACCATTAGTTAGGTACCATTTAATAGATTCGAGCGTTGGACTTTCAGGTTGAAAACTAGTTATATTATCACTATATCAAACCTTGATAGTGTTTAATTACTTTGGGAGATTAATATTTGTGTAGTACGCGTTGTAGGTAGTACTAGATAAATGGCCCGGGCTACGTGCCGGGTATCTCCATATACCATTATTTGGATTTTTCGGTGATTGAGAATATGACTTTATAGCAGTGTTATAATGTCGCTGGCATGTCGGCTGGTTGAATAATCAGTATCAGTTATGAAATCGATATGAATACCACCTGTATAACATCCATGATTGATTTCTGACATTTAAACAGTGGTTTTAGTGAATTTTAATTGATAAAAATTTAACTTTTTATTTATTTCGTGGATTTGAAAGTTAAATGTTGATGCTATTTGTTGAATTCAAGTATAATTGTCTTGAAATAAGCTTTATATATATATGCTTAAATTCACTTGATGTGAAATGATTTTTCACATTTCTACATATTTTGTTAAACCGTTTTGAACCTGTTGGACTCCGCTGGAACCGCTACCACTTGCTATATCGACACAATGAAATAAACCTGTTTGCAACGTACAACTGAAAAATACATGGAAGATTTAAAGGTGAGATAACAATTAGGATGTAATTTTAGAAAGGAACGGAGTTGAGAGAAGTGATTTTATCATCCTATTACATCATCAGTACCCTACAAAGTCTTTCATCTCACAAACAAAATTCCCATTGATTCCTGTATATATACATCCATCCAAGCAATTATGTCAATATTCACCAAATGCTTGAGTAATCACTAATTCACTATCATCTGGATATAATACGATTTTAGATAGTGCATGAGGACATTAACAATGTTGTCAATGTACGATCTCTATTCACTTAATGGAGAGTCCTACGGTGCATCCGCGTGGTGTGCATGGGCTTGCGGTACACCTTAGCACATACTACTGGACCCCTTATATCATACTTACGCTATTTATTATCTAATCTAATTGTGTGAGGCGTATTTTTAGGTTAAATGTATTTTCAAAGTAGAGTGTAGATGGTAGTGGAGAAAAAAATTGAGACTCATTTTACCAAATTGTGATTGGATATTGCTTGGTGTTGAAGCCTGCTTGATCAACCCACTTTTCTTCCGTACCAGCTTTCTCTCCCGATGAAGCCTGCACTCACAGAGGTGGGCCTTGTGGCCCGTTAGTCCTCCAACGCTCAAGTCAGTATCTTTCTTAGAGAGAGAAGTGCTTGCAATGCACAAATTTTAGTGAGAGAAGCCAAATTGAGTAAATGCTTACCAACCTCACTATTTATAGCCGATCACTGCTTACCTGGATCTTCTCGTACGGATTTCCACGTCACCCTAACATTTAGGGCGCTCCCTCCAAAGGTGACCTTGGGCGCCTTCCTTAGGTGCGCACCACTCACCCTAGGCGCCTATCGCTCATGTACTACTATTCCGGGTGCCCAAGCCTACTTGCCATTCCGATCTAAACCCGAGGGCGCCAATCGCGGCTTACTTCAGAACCTTAGAGTATGTTTGGCTTCAGACCATTTGGACTTCTTACCTCTTAATGGGCCTCGCCCACATCGAGGCCTTCTCATTTGCACACCCCCAACAACTTCCTACCTCTTAATGGGCCTCGCCCACATCGAGGCCTTATCATTTGTACACCCCCAACAATTGCCCCCCAGTTAGGTGCTCAAGTTTTAGGTCCCTTGAGCGCCTAACTATTAGGCTCTCACTCACTCTTCCTTTTCCGATTTTCATCACGGTCGCTGCCTGCCCCCCAATTCGCCGAGGCTGACATTAGGCACCCTTGTCTTGATCATCTAAAAAGATTAGGTTACCCTTGCGTACATTAGGCGCCTTGATGCTTTTAAAAACCCTAGGCGCCCCTTGCTGACCATAGGCGCTCCCGATTCAGATGCTCCTCCTTTATTCGTCTAACTTTTTCCCAGGCTCCTACGCGATCATAAGTCCCAATACT